ATTTGTATTGTCGATACTAAAAATTTGAGTTCTTGGATATAAAAAATTATTAATATTGATGGAGGTTTTATATATTTTCGTAAAGCATATTTGATTGACAATTATTACAAGGTTTTTTTTTTTTGTGTGCAGATGCAACCCTTTTGAGTGTACAATGATATCTTCGCATATCGATATTGGAGCTTACTATTGATATCAAAACAAGCTACAATATATATGTTTTTTTTATTTGTATTGTCGATACTAAAAATTTGAGTTCTTGAATATAAAAAATTATTAATATTGATGGAGGTTTTATATATTTTCGTAAAGCATATTTGGTTGACAATTATTACAAGGTACATATATATTATTCTTGGTGTATGATTTTGTGAATGTGAATTTTGATGTGGATGTGGATGTATTGTATTTTAGAAAATATTAATAATTTGTACAGGGAATGAATTAATAAAATATGATTTTATGAAAATAATTTTATTGCAACAATAGTAAACCTTTGCTAATGTAATCATTTTATTAGCAATGGGTTAACCTGTCGCATATACATATTAGTTCTAATCTTTTACAACAGTTTAAATTAAAGATTTATTTGCGACGGTTTAAGCTATCGCAAATACAATATTAATTCAATTCTACTTTTTTAGTGACGTTTTAAACCGTTGCTAATAATACTTTTTATGACATCAAATACCGTCGCAAAAAAGGTTTTTGGTGACGGCAATCAACTTCATCACTAAAATGAAGTTTTTCTTCCTTTTTTTTTTTGTGTCAGGGTAAACCGTCACAAAAACTATTGATTAGCTGTCGCTACAAGAAAGCGATGGTTTGTAACCGTCACAAATACTTTTTGTCACGCCCCCTTCCGCCACCCCTTATTTCCTATTGCTACCCTGTTGCAAAAGTTTTGATTTTTAGTAGTGATATGGGATGTAATTACAACCTCAGATATTTTCAATACTCTTAAGGTTCAACAATACAACAAAATATACAACATATACTCAAACATCCACAAATAGATCCGGATATTTCTCTCGGACCTCCAACTCACGTTCCCAAGTGGCTTCCTCCACTCCATGATGTTTCCACAAAACCTTTACCAAGGGAATGGTCTTGCCTCGCAAGCCTTGATCCCGCCTATCCAAGACCCGAACCGGTCTCTCCTCATACGAGGCATCCTCATCTACTTCTAAGTTGGTCCAATCCAATACATGCGATGGATCCAGCTCATACTTCCGAAGCATACTCACATGAAACACGTCATGCACTCCGGACAACTGCGGCGACAAAGCCAAACGATAAGCAACCTCCCCAATCCTCTCGAGGATCTCAAAAGGACCGATAAATCGAGGGGATAACTTCCCACTCTTCCCAAACCTCATCAAACCTCGCCTAGGTGATATTTTCAGAAAAACATAATCACCCGTCTCAAAAGCTAAAGGCCTCCTCCTACAGTCGGCATAATTCTTTTGACGACTCTGGGCTGTAACAAGCCTCCTACGGATAAGCTCGACTTTCTCCGTCGTTTCTCTCACCAACTCCGGGCCCAACAAAGGTGCATCACCCACCTCGACCCAACAAACTAGAGACCTACAAGGTCGGCCATACAAGGCCTCAAACAGTGCCATACCGATACTCGACTGAAAGCTTTTGTTGTAGGCAAACACCACTAAGGGTAAGTGCCTCTCCCACGTCCCACTAAAATCCAGGACACAACCTCGAAGCATATCCTCGAGGATCTGAATAGTACGCTTGGATTGCCCATCAGTTTGAGGATGATAAGCCGTACTAAAGGTCAACTTAGTGTCCAAGGCACTCTGCAAACTCTGCCACAACCTAGCAGTAAAATGAGGGTCTCTATCTGAGACGATCGTCACTGGGACCCCATGCAACCTCACTATGTCCCGAATATACAAGTCGGCAAGATGATCTATCGAATCTCTCACACGCATAGGGATAAAGTGCGCCGACTTAGTCAACCAGTCTACAACCACCCAAATAGCATCGCTACCCCGCTGAGTCCTCGAAAAACCTACAACGACGTCCATAGTGACATGCTCCCACTTCCACTCGACAATAGGCAAGGGTTGCAACAAACCTGCTGGCCTCTGATGCTTGGCCTTCACTTGCTGACAAGTAAGGCACTTAGACACGAAAATCGCCACATCCTTCTTCATACCCCGCCACCAAAACTGGCGACCCAAATCCCAATACATCTTAGTGCCTCCCGGATGCACCGCAAGGCGTGAATGGTGAAACTCTCGGAGTACTTCCTCTCGGCAAGATTTCGGTACAAGCAAACAGTCTCGGTATCTCACACTCTGGTGGGGATACACCGTCAAACCCTTCTCAACTTTCCCATTGGAGATCTTCTCTCAGAAGGACTCTACCTCAAGGTTATCTCTCTGTGCCTCTAATACTCGAGTCACAAGTGTAGGCTACGCAACAATAGAAAACAAGGCCGCAGCCTCAACGGATTCGCCCAAAAGCAAATCAAACTCGCCAAGTGCACCCAACATCTCCCACTCCCGGATGGCTATACAGCTACAACACTAATGGATTTCCTGCTAAGGGCATTGGCCACTACATTGGCCTTTCCCGGGTGATAGTGCAACTCAAAGTCGTAGTCCTCAATGAACTCCATCCACCTTCTCTGTCTCAAATTCAAGTCCCTCTGTGTAAACTGGTACTTCAAACTCTTATGGTCCGAGAACACCTCGAACCTCTCACCATAAAGGTAGTGCCTCCAAATCTTCAAAGCAAATATCACTGCTGCTAACTCTAGGTCATGTGTAGGGTAATTCTTCTCGTGTATTTTCAACTGACGTGAGCCATAGGCTACCACTTTCCCCTCCTGCATTAACACACAACCCAAACCCTCTCGTGAGGTATCACAATAAACCGCATAACCCAACCCTCTCTGCGGAATAATCAAGACCGGAGCGGTGGTCAATCTAACTTTCAGCTCTTGGAACGACTTTTCACAAGTCTCACTCCACATAAATTTGACTCCCTTCCGAGTCAATCTAGTCAATGGCAAAGCTAGCCTAGAGAAATCCTTCATAAACCGGAGATAACACCCAGCTAATCCAAGAAAACTGCATATCTTAAATACACTCTTAGGCTGTGCCCAATCTTGCACTGCCTCAATCTTAGATGTATCAACAGACACCCCTTTCCCGGAAACCACATGGCCTAAGAACTTGACTTCCCCCGGCCAGAACTCATACTTTCCAAACTTGGTATACAGCCTATGGGCTCTAAGTAACTCAAGCACCACTCTCAAGTGTTCCTCGTGCTCCTCCTCTGGAGGTGAATAGATAAGAATGTCGTCCACAAAAACGACCACAAAACGATCTAAGAATTCCCGGAAGATCCGGTTCATCAAGTCCATAAAGACTGCCGATGCATTGGTGAGCCCAAACGGCATCACCAGAAACTCATAGTGGCTATACCGCGTACGGAATGCCGTCTTCGGAATATCCTCCTCCCTGACCCTCAACTGGTGGTAACCCGATCTCAAGTCTATCTTAGAGAAACAACGGGACCCCTTCAACTGGTCAAACAGATCATCTATACGGGGCATAGGGTACTTATTCTTAACCATAGCCCGATTCAACTTCCGGTAATCTATACAAAGTCTCAAGGCACCATCTTTCTTTTTAGCAAAAAGGGCCGGTGCTCCTCACGGCGAAACACTAGGGCGAATGAAGCCCTTATCTAGCAATTCCTGAAGTTGAATCTTCAACTCACTTAACTCGGCTGGGGCAAAATGATAAGGCGCCATAGAAATCGGCGCTGTGCCCGGCACTAAATCAATGGAGAACTCTATCTCTCGATGTGGTGGCAAACTAACAAGATCCTCGGGAAAAACATTCGAATACTCGAAAACCACTTTCGGTAACTCAATCTGGGTCTCATCACACTCACTACTCATAAAGCTAGCGAGTAGACCACTAAGCTCACTCCGTCCTCGCGGATCATACACCGGTGGCAACACACTACTAACCTGATCCCCCAAGAAATGGAAATACTCCCCGCTCAAGGTACAAACTGTGACCTCTGGCCGTAGCAATCAATAACAGCCCGGTATGACGATAGCCAGTCCATACCCAAAATAACACCAAATCCCGACATGGGCATCACTACAAAAGAAAACGGAAGCCGGTGATCAGCGACCTCTATATCACAGCCCCTACATCCTTGTTTCAAAATCAATTCACCCCCAATAGGTGACACTACACAAATAGAAGATGCTAATTATGTCAACTCCAATCCCAAAACAAATGCAAATGCAGCAGATACAAAAGAATGAGATGCACTCGTATCAATCAATACGCTAGCAACCGAGTTGCAAAACAAGAAAGTACCTCTCACAATTGATGGAGCAGGTACGAGATCCTGCACGGTAATAGCGTACACACGCCCAGTAAGCCCCTGATCCACCTGCTCACCCTTGGGAGCATACGACTACTGCACAGACTGGGATGACGAAGCTCCCAGATTGGCCCTCGGGGCCTGTACAGACTGAGCTGGTTGAAAACCCTGCATCTGCCTAGAACCAGACGCGCCCGAAGTGGCACTCAACTGTGGGCAAAACCTCTTCAGGTGCCCAGGCTGACCACACTGATAACAAGACAAGGGCTGACCACTGCCCTGACTCTAGCTCTGCGGTCTAGCTGAAGATGAAGCAGCTCTCTGACCTCCTCCCCTCTGTGGGCAAACCGAAGCCTTGTGGCCCAGCTGACCACACTTGTAATAGGTGAAATCTCCTTGATTGCCTCTCCCCGAGCCTGCACTCGGCACTGGAAAGGTCGATCTAGCAACACCCCCTGAGACTACTGAGGGTTAGCACCCCTCTGTCTCCTGCCATCACCCTGACCATCCTGGCTCCTCTTGGAGCCTCTCTGTCCCTCCTCCTCTTGCATCATGATCTCCATATGGGCTGTAGCATCAACCAAGCGCCCATAGTCTCGGATCATAGAACCTCCAACTCTTAGAGAGAGAGAGAGAGAGAGAGAGAGAACAAACTCATACTACCAAAACCAGCTCACATATAGACAAAAACAGTTACACGTCATATGCAATTAAACCATGCAATGTGAGACAAAATATGAATAGTACAGACTCAATTACCTTTCCTTGACGAATGATTCTTGGGAAACTCCCAATCATATCAACTACAGTGGACGGATCAGCCACTCTAACACCCGCATCAATGACAAAATCAAGACCCTGAGATGGATAAAATAGAGCAAGTCAAGTAAGACATATTAGTGCACAAAAAGTAAATTTTCTTTGTGAGTTGAGAAATTGTTGATAACATATGTAATAGAACTCATTCTGGTGTTTTTCCCTTATCATTTGAAAGCACAACCCTGTACCTTGTTAGACAGCCATTATATTATTATTTGAATAAGATGAAGTCATTAGGAAATGAAATTATGGAATAAACAATAGCTTTAGGTCATATTTGTGACGTGATCCTTAACAAAGTAAGCATTGATCCAGGTTGAAAGTGCCAAAAAGACAATAAGGCGGCCAAAATAACATTGCTTTGAGGCCATTAGAAACTGTTAGAGCTGATTAAAAAAGACAGGTCCATGTAGCAAATCCCAAGTAGTTAAGATTGAGGCTTGTTGAGTTCAGTTGTACAGAGTCATTTCTTCAAATCCCAGAATATGTTTATGGGTAAATTAATCCAGACCAAGAGATATTGAAAACGAAAGAAAATCCTTGTGCATGACTTCAAATACACATGCAAATTTTTTCCACTCAAATTTTGGGAAAGTTTCTGAATGAACTCAACTGCTATAGAAATTATTTGATTTCTATAGGACAGTTAAACTATTTCAGTTCATGCAAATTGAGGAAATACACCAACTAGTTGTTCCATTTGATATAAAAATAAACCAAAGCTCATAAAGAAAGACCAGCACCTATGTGTGTGTGTGTGAGAGAGAGAGAGAGTAATACCTCTGGTCCATATACATCAGCTATTACAACTGGATCAATTATCCACCCATTTTCCTTTGGAGACTTGGCACTGAAGCAAAGAAAATTTTATCATAATAATAATAAGGTGTGTGGAAAACAACCACCAGATAAACTATGTTAGTTGTGTAATCAATAATTGCAAAAAGACAAATTAAATCAAGGTATAGCAAATTTCCAGTTACCTTGTTGATATCAAGGGTGCATCCGTCTTCTCTAGAATTGCTTGACATACAGTATCATCAGGAATGCGTACGCCTACATTTTTCTGGTATGCATATTTGGAAGTTGTAGTGCCATATCTTGTGCACTGTTTTGGCAGTTCTTTACTTGCAGTTAAGATGAAAGTATATTGTAACAACAGGAGAGAAAAAAGAAGGGGGGGGGAAGAAAAAAAAAAGGGAGTCCATTTACAAGTCCATAATCTCCATATCAGAAGTTTGAGGAATTTGAGGAGTCTTTTATACCCAAAGCCATCCAGTCAAAAGCAACTAAGTACACTAGCATCATAGTATGATCCAAGCACTATGGCACACTTGCAGAGACAGCAAAGCCAAAGACTCTTCAGATTGCCCCGGAAACTGTCCCAAACCAAAGATCTTCAGACTCTTGCTGCGGACAGGTACGCGAATAATCTGAAGCCGGTTTGGGTTGTCAAATGACTTGAAAGCTGTCAAAGGTTTTGAGACCTCCTGCAAAGTACAATCACTCTCATAAGAACTTTTTGGCATTTCTCTCAACCACAGGGCAAGATATTTTACAACATAAGCAAGCATAAGGTATGGAGCTTCTCTCCTACCACCCATGAGTGGTCCAGCAAAAACATCTCCATACCAAAAGATTTTTAAGTCATCAGATCATCTAATCAAATTCATATTTGAATACATACAGTAAAACCAAGTCTCGTATCCCATTCAATGGAAGAAACTACGCATGAATTATTTTTTTCCGTTGGCACAGTTAATGAGTTGTGTTTGGCTTGAATTTACATGTAATACATCAAAATAAACAAAAGAAAGAGTCTTCAACTCTCATCATCATCCAAGCTATGTCCTTGGAGGTGGCATACTACCTGTACCTGAAAAGAATGTCCCATAAAGGGTGAGCCACAGCCTAGTTGAGATATGCTAAACACAGTATGAGCAGTGACTAAGACATTAGCAATTGATAAATCTTCAACTTTCAAAAACCAATTCATAATCCATTTCCACTTCATGATCACTATGTTCATGTTTCATTTCAGTTTCCATTTCTTATCAATTTCACAGTTCACATCAATGGCTTAGAACCTGGCCAACCACTTATATGAGACAATGACTCATATTAAACACTTCCCGTTTTACAATAGATAAACATATTAGTTGTATCAACATCTCAACAGATAAGCATACAAGTTGTATCCACATTTCAACAGATATGCATATTAGCAATATCAACACTTCCAATGACAAGCATATGAGCTGTATCAACATTTTCAAAGATAAGCATATGAGCTGTATCATCACATTGTCTGACAAGCATATGAGCTGTATCAGTGGAGTCTATCCCCTATCTCCTCCCAAACAACATCCGATTTAGAGGTCCATCCCCTATCTTCCTCTAAACCGTGGAGTACATCCCCTATCTCCTTCCACACACACAACATATATACACAAAAGTCATATACGTAATCAATCAATACATAACATCAATGTATTCTATCAACCGTCGTACTCTATGACATATCCAATTGATTAGTTTTAGTTCACCTAATCATCATGCATTGTCTACAACAATCAAAACTACCCTCCACCGGTAGCCCAAGTAATTATTTCTAAACAGATAATAAAAGCTCCAACAGATAAAATATCAATGTTTTCAAAAGTGAGCGATTAACAAATCTAACTCCACTATTCAACCATTTATTGAGGCAATTTCATTATGTCCACCTCAATTCCATATAACCATCATTTTCTCAAATTAATCATACCAATTTACACAACATGCAAAGGAGATACACAATTTAAAATAGATTATTGGGGATACATGGGCTTTCCTCTTTTCATTGGGGGTGAGCAAGAGAGAGGCGTGGGGATTGTGAAGGCGTGAGATTCAAAATAAGGGTTTCCAAAGCTTTAACAAGTATTCTCACATTCAAAATAGCGCGTGAGGGCCAACGTATTTGGAGGCGTTTCCAATTTCAAAACGGTGTCGTTTAATTAACGAAATATGCGATGTTTTTATAAACGTCGTTAAATATTTATAAAAGTGGCGTTTAAAAAAACGCCGTTAAAAAAACGCCGTCTAAACCTATTTTTCCTGTAGTGACCATGAAGTAATTTGTTGTAACTAGTAGAAAAAAGAAATCACTAATGTATACATTTTCTACCTATGCAAGTAAACTGGTCAGATTGCTTTTCAGACTCCTCACGTGCTCAAGATTCTTGGTGCTAACATTCCTCACCAGTTCATCCAATACAGGGTAAGCATCTCTCTCAAGGTCTGCTACACTAGAGTCCAAATATGTACAGACAACCTTTAATGTAATCTCGAGAACTTGAAACTCAAATGGGATGTCACACTGCAAACCTTCAACGGCTTTAGGAACGGGCAACCATTGTGCCCCAAATGATAATTGCATTTCATTATCTTGTACATCCATTTGACCTACTCCTTGACTTTTGACAAGCTTTTATGAGGAAGTCGTTGCCGCAGCTGATCCACAAACCGAAGAACCTCCTAGCAGAGAGGATCAAGCAATAGCACTTCAGCTGTAACTATAGCCTTTATAAACTCTAAGTTGACAACCATAGCTTTCTCTCTAGCTACAGAAAGGAACAATACAAATTGACTCTCATCGCAACCAATCATTAGATACAAACGTATGAATCTATGCAGGCATCACTGGCAGCAAATGAAAAATAAATAAATAAATTCCACCCAGATCATTATAACAGAAAAGAGATTAAGGGTTTTCTTGATGAGTTGATGCTGGACTTCATGAACAGAAAAAAGAGAATCTATTAGGGGATAAAGAAACAAAAATAGATGGGACTACGGAATTGTTTGGCAACCCCATTAAATGCTTAAATCTAAAAACTTTTAACGACCTATTAAGTTTATTAGTTAACTGTTGGACAAACTTCACTGTATTTGCAAAATAAATTCTGTTGTGTACTCAACAACAACCAGAATACAAAAGAAATAAAGGAAAGAAGAGAATTTGTTTGATTACAAAAATCAAACCAGAAAAATAAAATAAAATAAATAAAAACAGATTTTGATTTTGTTACAAAAAAAAATCAAAATCTGATTTAAATAAATAAATAAAAACAGAAAATAAATAACCAACTTACTTGATTAATTTCTTGAATAATATTCTGATCAAGTCCAGTGTTCAACACTGTGTCCTTAAGACAGATTCATCCTCTCCACGGTGCTTTCAGAATGTGGACGTCTATCTCTCAGGATGAAATGATCAACAACAAACAATAACAGCACTACAAATTGTTTGCCCAACGAACACATTAAATGTTTACACTCTTTCTCACAGAAATTAAATGCAGCAAAATGCAGAGAATTATAGCAGAGGAGAAGTACAAAAATTGTAGTAAAAAACCAAATGAGGGACTGCCTATTTATATAGGTGAAGTGGTGGCTTGGTGGCTGCTCAATTTGAATCCAACAGGTAGCAAATCTGTTTTGAACAGATACAGCACCTGTTCAGTTCGAATTTGAATAGATAACCGAATTTGATTTGAATCTTAAACAGATAAAATAGTTTTGGGTTTGAATCTGGACAGATTCGGATCTGTTTGTACAAAATTCTGAAGAGGTGTAACAATTTTGATTTCAAAAATTAAAATTAAAATTGGAAAAATTTTATTTTACTAAAAAATAAAATTGAATTCAAATGTTTTATGCCCAAAAAGATTAGTATTGGGCCGAACAAGCCCAACCCAACGTCACACCACGCACCCACGCCCAAGCCTAGACCCAGCCTAGCCCAGCCCAGCCCGCCTGACCGGACGGATGGCTGCGGCGGCGCGCGTGCTGATTTTTGGGTCCAATGGGTCTAGCTCATTTTGCCCATAACCTCCCTCTCTACAAAACATGGGTACCCCTTGGGGCACACCCCAAGTTCCAATCTCATGCCTTATAAACCCACTCAAAACTTCCCACCAAATCAATGTGGGACAAGCCATTTTTCAAACCTTTCAAACCTTTATGGATTTTCCACCAAAACTCCATTTCCATGGAGCACACTTTGGCTTCAATTTATCATTCACTCGATAATGGTTTTGAGTAACCAAATATACCACGTGAATCACAACGCGGCATAGAACGCATTACCACTTAGACTCGCCAACTTTGGCGTACAGGTCCTACCTAAATAATAGACCAAAGTTAGGAAAAATTCTATTTTTACCTAGAATTTCCAAACCATTTCTAACAATCCCCCACATGAATGGAATTTGATGACAACGGAAATGCAACAATATGCAGAATTTGTCGAAAGAGTATAAGTCGAAAATATCTTGCTTCAAGATAGGTAGCTTTCGGCCTTGAACCTTCCCTAGTGATAACCTATCGGACTTACAAGCTAACCAATGGACGCGATGCCTTGAATTGTTCAGCCGTTTGTGTAAGCCAAGATAATAGATTTCACATAAAATATCTTCTAACACATCGTGGTTCTCCCTATTGTGTTCATTTTGGCCTTGAACGCTTCTAGTTTCATGAGTGTTTCTAGAGAATTTAGCCTCTTCATTCTCATAGAACCGACCCCAGTTCAACACTCATATAGGTGATTCTTATTGTGAGTATCTCCTTATACTCGTCTTGATTTTATGCCTTAATCAAGATATAAGTAATCATTAAAAGCAGAGCTTATCCTTTTACCCCTGCAGACAACACATGTTGCAGATATCACTCTCACCATAGAAATGGGTAGGGAATTTTAACCTCTTGGTGATTTCTAGCGAGCCACACATAACTTAGTTGTCCCTTTGAACTTAGTTCTTTGGATCTCCAGTTATATAAGTAGGGTTACCATTATGATGACTCTTATGTAATAGACTTTAATCCCATCCCTTTCGATGAACTATATACTTGCTCTTTTGTCAAACCTTTTGTTAACGGATCCGCAATATTCTCTTTAGATTTTATATAATCTATTGAGATTGTTCCATTCGAGAGCAATTGCCTTACGATATTATGTTGACGACGAATATGTCGTGATTTACCGTTATACATATGATTCTGTGCCCTGCCTATTACAGATTGACTATCACAATGAATGCAAATAGCTGGCACAAGTTTTGCCACATTAGAATGTCTTCTAAAAGGTGATGAAACCATTCTGCTTCTTCTCCTACTTTGTCTAAAGCAATGAACTCAGATTCCATTATGGATCGTGCAATGCATGTTTGTATTGTGGATTTCCAATAAACAGCAGCGCCTCCCAGAGTAAAAACATATCCACTAGTAGATTTTGAATCTTTAGTATCCAATATCTAATTGGCATCACAATAACCTTCGAGTACTGCTGAATATCGAGTAAAGTTCTGTCACGACCCAAACCCGCCCCTATGGGTTTAGCACCGTAACCAGCCAGTAATCCGAGATTACCGAAGGCCTGCTTAACAGTAAAACAGTAATACAGAGTACAGGGGCTGGCGGAAGCCAAAATAGTAATTAAAAAATGTCCAATGAGCTATGACAGTCTGTATGCAAAAAGACTTTTTAAACATATACGCATTCGAAACAAAATAGTATGTACATACATCATATACAGATATTCAGGTTAGGGACCAAATCCCTACCATAACAGTACAGTACAGGTACACATATCATTCAGTCTACAAAACCAGATACAAAGGGGGAAAACTAAAACACCCCAAAAAGCCCTAGCTTGAAGGCTTGGAACCTTGCAGTGAGGCACGTTGGTTGGCTTAACAAAAAGGGAGTTTAAACCCCACGCCCCTAG